ATCAGCGTGGACTACGTCCTTTCCCGGAGAGCCGGGCTACTAGCCGGCAAGGCTTCGGGACTTTCTAGGGGCTGGAAGCAACTCGCGGTGGGGGGAAGGGGGGAGGGCGGTGCTGTTGAGGGCGGGCCGATGGCTTCCCCGGGACGCGCAGGGACGAGTTGCCGAAGCAGGAGCGTAGACAAAACCGAAACAACCACCTCCCCCGCTCCCTTCCTGGAACCGGCGCCTGAAGCTTCGCGGAAACTCTCCGCAGGAGCCGCCTGATTCCCCGGGGCCGTCCCCACCCCCGGCCCCAGTGCCTAGCTGGGGGTTGAAAGCCAGGACCCCTGCAACCCGGGACCATGGGATTGCGAGCGGGCGGGGTGTCGAAGGCGGCACGGGCGGGCCCGAGCAGCAGAGAGAAAATGTGGAGTTTCCGCCTCAGCTTCGCGGCGGCGGCGGCGGCGGCTCCTGCCCCACAATCCCCTTCTGGCTCCGGGGACTGGAATAGAGGAGGGGGGGGGGAGAGGGAAGGGCGGGCTGAGCCAAGGAAATAATTTTTTGTTTGTCTGATCTGCCCCAGCCTCTTTGGAGCTGGGCCGTGAGACTGAGACTAGGGGCAGCAAATTTAGACAAGGACAGAAATGGGATAGATAAGGAAGTGAAAGAAAAAGGGGAAAGTTAGAGAAAGGATAAGAATTTAATCGTGGGAAACGTAAGGTCCGAGCCCTTCCCTGGAAACTAGGAGTTTGAACACGATGGACGATGAGCGTTGTCGGTGGGAGCTTCCACGATTTCCTGCGGCAGATTAAACTGGAAACTGACGACCATCCCGAAATCTTGTCTTCCCCAACACCAAATTCAACATGACAGCAGATTAATCTTAATACTCGCCCCCCGTCTTGTCTTCAAACGCCTTGACACCCCCTCCCTCGCCCCAGTCACCAACTGCAAAAAGTCCGGACTCTGTCCTGGCGTTCAAATCCCTTTACAGTTAGGAATTCGACCCACTTTTCCAACTTTTTCTCTTCTTTCCACCCAGCTTTTGCCAAACTGGACTAACACCCTTTCAGGAAGAGATTGGCTTTATCCCTTCCGCACTCCCCCTTCATTTCAAGGGTTTACCGATTTTTTTTTTTGGTTGGGCAATGGGGTTAATTGACTTGCCCAGGGTCACATAGGTAGTAAGTGTTATGTGTCTGAGGTCGAATTTGAACTCAGGTCCTCCTGAATCCAGGGCTGGTGCTCTATCCACTACCGATCTTTTTAAACTCAATACAAACACCATCTCCTCTGGGAAGTTTTCTTTGATTCACAACTAGCAGTAACTCTTCTGAACTTTTCATAATTATATTTATATAAATATGTATATATACGTTTGTTAAGAATGACAAAGTTCTTTTTCCAGAATCGTGAGATAAGTAACACCCGCATTTATAGGCGAGAAAACTCAGGCTCAGACATTTTAATGTATTTGTCTATGGCCACACAGCTAGCATTAGGAATGACTTTTTTTTAAAGAAAAAAAACATCATCTCTCCTCGCCTCATTTCTTATCGGGGGGTGGGGGGGAACGCTTGCAAAATCTGCATAACCAAGCAAAACAAATTCCCGCGTATATCCTCACCCGGAGTCCATCATCTGTCTGGAGATAGTAGTGGAATTTGAACCGGGGTCTCTTGATTGAGTGAAGAACTATGCTTCCTTATCTTATCTTTTTCACACTTTAGACAGGTACTGTCTTCTCTGCTCTACTGAGATCCGGGATCAGGTCTTGTTCCTATCCCCTCAGTGTCTAACAGCACCTTGCATGTAATAGGTCCTTAATATTTGTTTAGCTGTTGAATGAATCTCAGCTTTTCCGGTTGGGATCCCTAATTTTATAGAGAAAATAAACCCCTCTCCCAAACTAACAAACAGCACAGGTGCAAGAAGAAACAAAGCTTAATTCCAACAAGCATCTTTTTTTATGCACCTACTATGTAATAAGGTACTGTGCTTGGCAGTGACCAAAATAAATAATTAGAAATCCTTGCCCCCAGATACCTGCCCCCAAGGAATTTGTATTCTTGGCTCAGTCAACTTGGAATCAGCCTCACATTCATTAGCTGTATGACCCCTGGCCAAGTTATTTCACCTACCTCAGTGTCCTCATCTGTAAAACAGGGATCATAATAACACCTACCTCCCAGGATTGTTGTGAGGAACAAATAGTAGTAGTATTCTACTGTACATTTTAGACTCTCCCTAGGGTCATAAATTGGGGGAAAGAAGTTTAGTTGCATTACCTCTGGAACCACTTCCCCATCCCAATGTCACGGCCATGCTGCCGCCCTCCTACCCCGCGCTTTCCAGGAAAAGGACTCTTATTGGGAGGGAGACAGGAGCCACGTGCACGTGAACTTGGGTGCCAATATTTGGGAGTAGGGTGGATGCCATAGGAACGGCCACTCAACTAGGAGAAGAGGCTCAACTCGGCTCCACTCCTGTAATCCCCCTCCTTCTCTTCTTCCACCTCCCCGCTTCCTCCCCCAGATCAGATGGATTAGTGAAAGTAAATCCCCCAACTCCGGATTCCAGGTCAAGGACAAGTTCTCTTCCCCACCTCCCCCACCCCCCCCCCGCAGCGGAACCAATGGGAGACAGGGAGGGGGGACGAGGAGAAGGGAAAGGAGGCGACGCCCCCTTACTCAATCTCCTGGACACTTGGGACAGGGGATTGCCCCCCCCCGAAAGGCAGTGATCCGAAGCGGGATGGGTGAACGCTAGGGAGTGGGGGTTTCTTAGCCCCTTGATGTTCCGGTCGAACAGGTGCAGGAGAAAAGGGGGAGGGAGGGTGGCGGAAACGTCCGCCAGGGGTAGGGGGAAAGAAAAGGCGGAGGGAGAGGCTTTACTCTTCCTCCTACCTCAAGCCCCTCTCCCAGTCTGTCCTCCGCCCCTATCTTCCCCTCCTCCTTCCCCCCGTCCCAGCTCCCCACGCCAGCCCCTCCCCCTGCAGGAAGCGCGCCCGGGAACAGAGTCTTTGAAGTATTGCCAGGCAGCCCCCAGCTCCAGGTTGCTCCCCTCCCCCACTACCCTACCTCCTACTGGGTGACCTCTGACCCTGCAGTTATTTAACCGTCCCTTTGGGAGTGCCTTAGGGAGGGGGGTGTTGATTACAATCACATAGTACCCCCATATACTATACACAGCCTCCCACACACATCTCAAAGCTTTGGGGGTAGGCTTCGTTTCCCCTTTCAGGCTCAGCCATCAGTTCACCAGGGCTGTTACTTGTCTATATAAAATCTGGGAGTTGATCTGGTTCTATATTGAGAATCTCTGAGTGTGAGTGTCTTCCCTGAGCCTTTAGTACTGTGTTCAAATATCTCAGGAGGAGACTGTGTGTCTTATCTGTGAGTATACCTGTGATTGTGCTATTGTGTCTGAGTGTGTGTGTATGTGTGTACATGTGTGTGTTCGGGAATACACGTGCAGCCTGTTTGTCTGTAGCCACATCTGTGCCTTGAACATATTTATAGCTAGGCATGGATCTGTGTATGAGTGTGCCCACTTGTTTGTGACTGTGTCTGTGTCTGTGCTTATATCCATGATTGCAAGTATGTTTTTGCGCATGAATGCATCCATTCTGGAATTGTGTCTGTGAGTAGACCTGAGTCTGATGTCTACTGCTTTTCCCTTATTGACTAGCTAAAAATTTATATATAGCTAGACAGACAGATATCTTTTTCTCTCTCTCTCTCTCTAGAGAGATATCTCTAAAATTTTTCATATAGCTCTTTATATTATATAAAGATCTATATATGAAAATGTTTAGATAATTTTTAATTTTAACTTAAATTTAATTTTAAAATGTTTAGATAGAACCTTGTTTGTACTTACTTTGTTTCATGTTATCAGACATTTGTCTGTGAGCTCCTCGAGGGCAGGAACTGTCTTTCATATTTGTATGCCCAGTGCTTAGCACAATACCTAGCACATAGTAGGTACTGTATAAATCTTAGCTATGTATAATTATGGCAGACGCTATTAAATGTTTATTGACTGGGCTGTGGTTATAGAAGTGAGTCTAATGTCTGTGATCCCACCCAGATGTCTGTGTGACTGTGTCTGAGTCTCTGCCTCTCCAGAAGAGGTAGGGGTGTGTGTGTATGTGTTTTGGGGAGTTAGGGGGGCGGAGCAGGGAAGGGTCCACACCGTCTTTGCCCCCAGAATGGGATTCCAGACTCACAGCATCCCCTTTCCCTGGGCTCCTCCAGTCCCTGCTCCAAGTTCTCCCCCAGGGCTGTTTAATAACAGTCCCTTAATAGAGAGACCGGCAACCTACAGACACACAACTGGAGATGTGGAAACCGAGACCAAAAAAAAGGACAGAAAACACTGCCGGGGTACAGAGCCCTGGACCAACAGAAGGTGACAGCGGAAAGTGTGAGAGAGTGAGTGAATGCGTGTGCGTGGCGCGGACTGCGAATTTAAAAAAAAAAAAAAGGAAGAAAGAAACCCTCCCGACCAAGCGAGGCTTTGTTCTCTGAACCTAAGACTTTACCGAGCTCCGCGGCCATGACTGCTGAGACGGGGCGGGGAGGGGGAGCAGGGGGGGCGGGGGAGGGGGGGGCCGTGTGCGCCCGGAGTGGGGGGGCCGGAGGAGGAGGAGGAGGAGGAGGAGGAGGAGGGAAGGAGGGAGCTATGCCACTCTCAGCCACCCCGGCCTGGCCGGGCTGCCGCTGCTAAGGGGCCTTCTTTAGTTTGGGGCGGGGGGGCCCGGGAGGGGGGGCAGGGGAGAGCCAGGTTCTTCTTGGGGTGGGGGGGCGCCCGCCGGGGCATGAGGGCAAGAGCGCAGCGGCGGGGGCGGCCAGAGGGCGAGAGAGCGGAAGAAAAAGAAGAAGAAGAAGAAGAGAAAGAAAAGAAGAGGAGGAGAAGAAGGAGGGGGAGGAGGAGGAGGAGGAGGGGGAGAGGAGCGAAGGAGCCCCCCCTCCCTCCCTCCCTCCCTCCCTGACCCCCCCCCGCGGACCCCCCCAGCGCCCCCCACCCCCCCCCGGGAGCTCATGGAAGTATGAAGGAGATGGTAGGAGGTTGTTGCGTGTGTTCGGACGAGCGGGGCTGGGCGGAGAATCCGTTAGTCTACTGCGATGGACACGCGTGTAGCGTCGCTGTCCATCAAGGTAAGAGGGGGAGGGGGAGGGCGAGACCCCCCCCAGCGGAGGGGGCTGAGGGAGGGGGCGGGGGTCTGCTCCCCCCATCGCCGGGCCGGCGGAGACTGGCGTCCACTCCTGGGACTGCCCCGAGTCCGTGGGGACCTGCCCCAGCCCCACGCACACACACCTGAAGGGGAAGGGGGGCGGAGGGGGAGACCCCCCCACCCTCACCCCCATCTCAGGAGGAGGAGGGGGCGACCAGGCTTTGTTTTCTTGCCTATTGTTCCGATCATATTCTTCCCCCCAACCCCCCCAAGTTGAATGAGTTTAGGGGGAGTCCTAGGAAAAGGGTGATTAATGGTGTACTTCACCCCCCGCCACCACCCTGTCTGCCCCATCCCGAGTTTGGGGTGACTAGAATAAAACTCTTCCACCCCCTCCCCACCCCACCCCTCCCACCTCAACCCCATTTGGTTCATTTGGTTCTTGCTTCGTGGTGAGAAGGGAGGTCAGAGAGAGTCAACCCTCCCCGCCCTCCCCCCAACCCCGCCAAGCTTCCGGATTAGAGAAGGAGGGGGGTATTAGGGAGGTAAGAGAAGGGACTTAGAGCCCTGGGGGTTGAGGGTAGGTAAAGACTTTAAGGGGTGTTGAGAAGACGGTGAGACTCGGAAGATGTTTCTAGGGAAAGGTGTGGGACGGTAGATACTGGTTTTGGGAGTTTCCGAAACAGCACATGACTAGGTGGTTCAACCCTGGAGTAATTGGGGGGTGGGAGAAGCAGAAGACACCTGGATCGTGGCAGCCCCTTCAGTCTTCCTTTGGGAGGCCCCCCTTACCCCCGTTTACCATGGGGACAGCCCCTGTTGCCCAGGAGCCCAGTTGCTGTGGGTGATGGCAACTCCTCCCCAGAGTTAGTTTTCTGGCACCTGCCCTTGTAGGTGACTTCTGACCTGTGCTGGCCTGTTAGCTAAAGTGAAGGAGATAGAGGATCCCTTTTTTCTGCTTTTACTACTCATTTCCCCCCCCCCCAAAATAACGCACACATGGCAAACATCATTGAGACTTGTTTGTAGAGTGTAAATAAATATTCCCTTTTTTATGTAGTTTCTGATGACGGGGAAGAGGGAAAGCTAGGAGGAAATTGTGTGTGAGGGAGGTCATCTAAAGGTCTGAGGCAAGGACCCAAACTTCCTACCTTCCAGGGCCTACCACTGATTTTAGGAAATGGGGTTGGCTTGTTGTGTGGTTGTGTGATTGTCATGTTATGATTTTGTGTGGTCATGTAGTTGTGTGGTTGTATGTAACCCCCTTGAAGAATTTCCCAAGGAATTGGTGGAGAATAAGATATGGGAGCCAAGGAGTTTGGCTTATCCCTATGAAGCTGTACCCTCTCTACTCCCTCTGCACCCCCATCCCACCCACAATTCCTATGGGAGTCATTGAGAAAATTGCTTCAAGCCAGCTCTCAAGAGCCCCCTCCCCTTCCCCCCCATTCTGGGGCCCTTGTCCTTAAGGGGACTCTGGGCACTGACTTGACCCTTCCTACCCCACCCCCCAAGCTTGCTATGGCATCGTCCAGGTGCCCACCGGACCCTGGTTCTGCCGGAAATGTGAGTCACAGGAGCGAGCCGCCAGGGTGGTGAGTATGCTCCCCTCACATCTGCTCCCCTGGACCCTCCACCAATTTCCCTGGCAACAAGGCTGAGGCTGAGGCTGGAGAGTCTTGAGTTTAGGTCAAGCCTGGGTTCCTGAGTGCCCATCCCCCAACCCTGTTACTTAGATACCCCAATCCTGAGCGTTTGGTTCCTCCCTTGGAGACTTAGAAATTTGACATTGAGCCCTCCCATCCTTTACACAGACCCCCATCTGTGATGCTGACTCCTCAGTTCCTGACATTAAGCACCTACCTCCCAGACACTCAGTCTCCCATCCCTAGCACTGACTCCTCCATTCCTGACACTGAGCACCCACCTCCCTGACACTCGGTCTCCATCTCTTTCACTGACTCCCCCATCACTGATACTGAGCTCCCAACACCCCACACTGAGCCCTTCCATTCCTGACATTGACTGAGCCTCTTCATAGCAGACAACTGAGCCCCTACATCACTCCAGTTAACCTCCGTCTCACTCTGAGTCTCCTATCCCTTACACTGAACACAGAGCTCCTATTTCTGACACTGTTTTTATCCCCAGCACTTAGTCTCTCAATTCCCAGAGTTGGGGGCCTTTTAAGCTTACTTTCAATGGAGCCAGGGAGGGCTCAGCAGACATCCTCCCAGGCCCTCCCTTCTCCCCTGGCCATATTTTAAATGCCCTCTCTGATCTCTCCTTTTTGCCCTGTATTTTTTATAGAGGTGTGAACTGTGCCCACACAAAGATGGGGCATTGAAGAGGACGGACAATGGAGGTGAGCCCCTTCTATTCCAACCATAGAATTAACCCATACATGCAAGTCAACTCTCTGGGTGCTCATCTGGCCAGGCCAGATACAGTCATGTTCAGCCTGGCCTGGAGGTTTCCAGCCTGGGAAGGGTTGGGGAGGGACTGGGAATTTTTTTTTTCATGATGCCATGAATTAAATGACACTGGAGTTGTATGAAATGAATGCAAATGAAGACTGGTGGTCTGGGTTTGTTGTTGGGAGTGGAGAGGCTGGGATGGAGAAGAAGGATCCTGCTGAGATTGAGTGAATACCTGGAGGTCAAGGCTGGTCCCTGAAGCTTGTCTCTTTGCTCCTAGGCTGGGCCCATGTGGTGTGTGCCCTCTACATCCCCGAGGTACAATTTGCCAATGTGCTCACCATGGAACCCATTGTCCTACAGTATGTCCCCCACGACCGATTCAACAAGGTCAGTCCTTCTTTCCCTAAGCCTTTCAGTTCCCTCTCCACTCACCCTTCTATCTGGTATCTGTCCCTCTGTCTTCTCCTTCATCCATCCATCTGTCAGGTCTCTCCACCTTCCACCATTCATCCATCAATTTCTGTGTCCATCTCCTTGTCCACTCTTCCATCTGTCTTTCCATCTCATTCAGTTCAGTCCAATCAGCATGTTCTTTTGCTATGCTTCCTCAGGGCAGGGAAGGGCATTGCTGGAAGATCCCAGCATCCTCCCTTCTTGCCTCCCCCTCAGACTGCCCCCCCACACACACATATGCCTCTAAGACAAGACCCAAGCTAGAGAAAATGGTTCTGGTGGAGTTGAGGGGCATATTTTTTTAAAGTAGAAATAGCACAAGACTCAACATCAGAAGACCCAGAGTGAGTATCCTGGTTCTGCCATGTCCTGGCTGTTTGACCTTGGGACAGTCATTTAAAAACCTCGATGCCCTCTAGTCTTCTCAGACGTGTAACAGAGATAATGATCCTTGCACTGCCTACTTCACAGGGTAACTGTAGAAATAAAGCTTTGCAAACCTCAAGTCAATGAGTTATTATTAGGAAGGACTGAGGCATCCTCAATATCGTAGGACAAAAAGATATCAAGGAATTGGGGGAGAAGAGCCTTGGGAGGAAAAAGGAAGAGGGCAATGAACTGGGTAGAGGCAGGAGGGTAATGGAGGCTGAATATCCCAGAACAAGGAAGGGGGTGGGTGGGATAGAGGGCTGCAGAAGGAAGGGGAGCATTGGCAGGAAGGAAAATAATTAAAAATGGCCTGAAGGGCTTTTTGAAGTATTACCTCATTTGGTCCTCACAATAATCCTATACAGCAAGTCAGTGCTATTATCATCCTCATTTTACAAATGAGGAAACTGAGTCTCAGAGAGGTTAAGTGACTTACCCAGTGTCACATAGTAAGCATCTGAGACTGGATTCAAAAACAGGCCTTCCTGACTCCAAATCCAAGGCTCTATCCCCTGAGACGCCATCATTCCGTTGCCTTCTCTAGACTTGTTACATCTGTGAGGAGCAGGGCCGGGAGAGCAAGGCAGCCTCAGGAGCCTGCATGACCTGTAACCGACATGGCTGTCGCCAAGCCTTCCATGTCACCTGGTGAGCCATCCCATACCCTGTTGTGCCCCTGCCCCCAGATGCTCTCTGAGAACCACTTGATGCCCCAGGAGTTCAGGGAATGGGACTGTAAGGTGAGGAGGTTGCAATAAAGGACTTCTGAGATCCCTTCCAGCCCTAAGTCTGTGGTCTTGTCATCCCCAAATAAATTGTTGGTTTTTCACAAAAGGCACAGCTGGTCTGTTTGTTCCAGGTTCTGCCCCTTCAGGGATGGTTAAGATGATGTCCTGCCAAAAAAACATACGGGATTATATGCACCACTATGCAAATAAGGGGCTTGTCTTTTGACATCTCAGGAATGGGGCAGAAGGCAGAAAAATTTTCTATTAGCTATTGTTTCTAATAATTACAAACTTTTAGGGGAGTGGAGGATGGTCTGGCTGGTGGGAAGGGAGGTTGTTGGTGGTCTGCAACTGGAGCCCTCCATCCTAACTTTCCCTGGGGTTGGGGGGCTCAGTGCTCAGATGGCTGGTCTGCTATGTGAGGAAGAGGTCTTAGAAGTGGACAACGTCAAATACTGTGGCTACTGCAAATACCACTTCAGCAAGATGGTGAGTTGGGACGGTTCTCTCCCTTCTCTGCCCATCCCACTCAGCTCCAATCCAGCATCCCCAGAAGGGCCTTAGTGGTATACCTTTTCCAATAGCCAAGCCATTGATTGAAATGCAGTCTAGTGGAAAGAGCACTGGATTAAAGTCACAGGACCCTGGTACAAATCTCACCCCTTCTTCTTACACCTATATGACTTTGGGCAAGTTCCTTAACCACTCTGGACCTCAGTTTCCTTCCCTGTAAAATGAAGAAGTTAGACTAGATGGTCTCTAAGGTCCTTCCAGCTCTAAATTCTGCTAGACCACCTGAAGGAAGATTTCTTGACTTGACTGGGAAGGGGGAGAGGCCAGGGAACTCCTTTTCTGTGGGGAAGAAGTTAGGGGGTTAGTCACAGAGAATGGTGGGGTTGAGGGGAGAAAACATCTTTGGATATCATATAGATCTTTTGACCTGTAGGGTGGGAGGGCTCCAAGCAGAGGTAGGGTATGGATGACTTGACCAGAATGATCCTTTCCATGGGCTGGTGAGAGGAGGGTTTGACTAGGACCCCTTAAACAGCCAGCAAATTCCCCTCCACCACTCCACCAGAAGCCATCGAGGCACTCCAGTGGGGGATCGGGGGGTGGCAACAGCGGCTTCATCGCTGGCCGGAGAAGCCAATCAGCCTCACCGTCCTCTCAGGAAAAGCATGGCTCCCACCATGAGAGAGGCCCAAAGAAGGTATGTTACTTGCATGTCCTGGGCCCCAGTTCTAAAATAGTGCACCAGGAGGGAGTTCACATCCCCAAAGATGAAAAGAAGGATGCTGTATATTGCCATGGGGAGAGAAGCAATGGGCTTCTGCCACACACACACCCGCAATGGTTAGGATGCCATGGTAAGGAGAGCTCTGGATTGGGAGACAGACTGTCTCTGTTGGAATCCTGGCTTTGACCTTGGGCAAACAACTTAAACAGAAGCACAGCCTTTCCGGACCTCAGTCTCCTCATCTGTAAAATGAAGAGTTTCGATGAGGTGATCTGACAGCTCTGAGTCCTGGGCCCCCACTCCTGTGAGCCAAGTTGATGTGCTCTTGGGGGGTGGGGGAAGGATCCTGGAAGTACGTCAGTTACCGTTCCCAAACTGAGAAGGTTGTCCTTGTGCCTGTGTCTGTCTTTGTCCTTGGGTCATTCTCCACCCCACCCCCACCCCTACTCCATCGGTTCATGGTTTCTGAGTGGCTGCTGGTTGAAGGGGTCCTTCATCATTTCTGGGTATTCCCTGTCCTCAGTTGGCACCCCTCTGCACGTGGCACCATGCTACCCTGAGTATCTCCATGTGTCCCAGTGTGTATGTCCTTGCCGGATTGTGTGTCGAGCTGGGTCGCTGGCATGATAATGGAGCAAGCTATTTATAGTAGGCAGCAGAGAGAAGGGGGAGGGGCTGGGAATCACTGAGGAACCTTTCTGTGCCTCCCCGTCCCAGAGAAACATCATCCCTGCCCCCAGTCTGGTTTCAGGATGGAAGACATTGGAGAGGAAAAGGAATTGGCAGAAGGACCTCACCCTGGCCCTTCAGGGCTCCTCCTTCAGACTGCCTCCCTAGAGAAGGGGACGTTTCCCTTTTGTCAACACATTAGCCTAGTACCTGGCCCAGCTCCTTGGCCCCACTCTCTCCCCACCCTGGGCCTTCCAAGTCTTCATATACCTCAATTTGCCCCACCTTTACCTCTGCAGAGTCGTAAGGACAAGGATCGGATTAAACAGAAGCACAAGAAGAGGCCTGAGTCTCCCCCCAGAATCCTCACTCCCCCTGTGCCCCCCGTCACTGACAAGGTACCAGCTGCTGATATTTCTCCACACCCTGGGGAAGGGGAAAGGGAACAGAGAATGGATGTGAGGAGGGTGAGGGGGTGATAGGGAGAACTGTGGGACCCAGGCATCCTGCCCCAACCCCAGTGGCTCACTCAAGCTACGCTTCTAAAAAGGTACAAGACTACATGGGGTAGTCATGGAAAAAGCCTCTGTTAGAAGTCAGGAATCCTGGGCTGGTGACCCAGATGGTCATTAACTAGCTGGGTGGCCTTGGGGCATTCTACTTCACCTCTCTGGGACTCAGTTTCTCTGCCTGTAAAATGAAGGGGTTGAATTACATGATCTCTGATAGCTCAGATTTTGTGAGTACTTACCAAGGCCGTTGACTGATCACATTTCCATGCCCCTGTCCCTACCTTGTCCGGTGGAAGAGGGCACCGGAAATGTCTTATTCTCGCCCTACCTTGTGAACAACAGAGTTGTCAGCTGCAGTTGTTGGGGCACGTTGCCCAATTTGCAGGGTCATAGGATCATGGAATTAGAGCTAGAAGTGATCTTACAGAACAGCTAATCTAACTCATTTTACAGATGTGGAAACTGAGGCCTAGAGAGAGGAGGTGACATGCCACTGCCCTAACCCAAATGTCAGAGTCAGGGATGGGAGGAGATCATAGAAACGGTTACCTTGTTTCTCTCCTAAGAGGAATAGCCTGTGAAGTGTACCTGGAGTAATTAAAAGCCCCCTTCTCAGGCCTTTCTCCTGATAGGATAAAGCCAGACTTTTGAAATCAGCCCCCAAATCCCATTCCCTTAAATGACTGTTCACGCCTCCAGGCAAGGGGAAAGATCTCAAGATGGGTGATTTTTACCACTCATTCTGACCTTCCCCTCCCCTAAATAACCTCCCTCTTGCCCCTGGCCCCAGCCCTCTTTCCAGCCCTTCTCATGCAACACCTTAGTTAGCCCCTCTTCCCAAAGCCTGCCCTCTCCAGCTGTGCGTGGCTGGGGCCCTGGTGGGTCAGACCTGCCACATAAAGAGATAGAACATCTGTCAAACAGAATTCACTCCTCTCTTCTCTCCTGGGAGTCTCTAATCCGAAAGAGAGGGGCACTCGAAGCCCTGCCCACCCCCACCCCCTACTCCAGCCCACCCCATTCCATCTCCAGGAAGAAACCAACCAGGGGCCCAGGGGTCTGAGAGGCCCCCTTCTTCATCTCTGCCCCTCCCTGACAGGAGGCTGGCAGCGCCAAGGGCAGTTTGGCACAGGGATCGGGTATCAGGTTGCCCCAGTGATGTTGCCATAGTGACTGCCCAAGTTGCCCAGGCATAGTAGCCTTTTCCCTCTCCCCCCTTCTTTGCTTAGGGGTGGGGGGGGATGGGGAGGGAAACTTGGCCAGAGAATTCCTCTCCCTCACTCCCAAGGCTGAGCCCACTTGGCCTAGAGAAGCCCAGGGGGATCATAGATTGGGAGTCTGGCATCCCTGCCTCCAGCCCCATGAAAAGGCCTTAGATCCCATGGAGCTTCAGGGAGAGAAGAGGAGAGGAGAGGAGAGGAGGCAGGGCTGGGCAGAACTGGGAATGTTCCTGACTGGCTGGCAGGGTGTGTATGTGTGTCTGTTTGGGCAGATATGAGCATGCACATAGGTGTCTGTGTGTGAGCTTGCATGAGTGCAAATGTGTTTATGCCCACACACATGTGACATGTCTGCTTGCATATGTGTATGTTCATTTGTACTTCTTTGGAAGCATATGTCCATAGATGCCTATATTTCAAATGGCCAGCTGTCCCCTTATAACCCTCCCTCCCCGACAACTCTTCTTGCCTTCTCTCAGATTAGAGCCACATCTGGCTTGCCTCAGAATTCCAGCTGTTGGATAGTATAAAGAGTGAAGATTGTGGCCCTGTCTGGAGAGAGAGTAGGGGGTGTCTTTGGCTTTCTGCCTCTATTCTTCTCCCCCATTATCATATTTGGGTGACTGGGGAGGGGCTGGTTGGCAGCTTGCCAACTTCTGCATTCTCTTGCTTCCCATGCCTAAAAAACCCCAGTACCCCATAACATTGCTGCCCAAGCCCACATGTGGAACTTCTAAGGTTCTGTCCCATTCTAATGCCCCATGATCTTCTGAGACTCTGAAGTGTTACCCCCATCATCATGCTGCCGCCATATCAGGCTCCATCTCAATCTCAGTCCATTTTGTTTCCACTGATTCTCAGGTCCTCTGAGACCTTATGAGTTCCCTTCTCTGGGCCCTCTCTCACTAATTCCCCAGGCATCTCACCAGAGTCTGACTGGAGGAGAGGCTGGAGGAGGGGAGTGTAGGCAGAGCTAGATGTGGGAATTCTTGTGTCTGGGTCAAATTCAGTTGAGGGGAGAGGGTGGGATTGTGCCAACCAAGGACAGCCTTTCCCCCAGAGAATTTGGTCTGCACGCCTGTAGAGGATGGGGTGGAAAGCTGGACTTGGAGTCAAGAAGACCTGAGTTTGAATTCTGACTCAGTAACTAGGTAACCCTGGGCAAGTCATGTAACTTCTCTAGGCCTCAGCTTTCTCATCTATAGAATAAACGGCTTGGGCTCAGTTTCAAGGTCCTTTCCAGCTCTAAATCTGTGATCCTAAGACTCTGCGGACAAAAGGAAAGAATCATGCCCAATACCCTGAAAGCAGCAGGTTTGGGGCAGGGCAGCACATCTCCCCTCTGATCTCTCCTCCCAGACATTGGGGCAATGGAGCAAATCCCCTGCTATCCCTCTGCTTTTCCCAGCTGTGGATGGGAGACCTCACTGAGGATGTGCCTGATTCTCAGCCCCAACTGTCTCTTTTCTCCTCAGGGCTCCTCCTCCTCTTCCTCCTCCTCTCACCATGAGGGCAGCGCCCGGGAGCCCCCTGAGGGCAGCAGGGATGCCAAAGGGAAAAAGTCTTCCAGCCACAGCCTCAGCCATAAGGGCAAGAAGCTGAGCAGTGGGAAAGGTGTGGCCAGCTTCACCTCTGCCTCCTCTTCTTCCTCCTCCTCTTCTTCTGGAGGACCCTTCCAGCCCACAGGTGAGTGTGGGAGCTAAGGGGGAGCCTAAGGCACTGGAGCCCAGGCTGGTGCCAGCCCAACTCCATCTTTTAAAGAAAAAAAGATATGAGACCAAGTGTTCTAGTGACCAAGGAGCCAGTCTCAGAGCCGGGAAGACCTGAGTCCTGCCTCTGACATTCTCTAGACAACTAAGCTGCAGAAAAGTGCTGCCCTCCACTAGTGGAGGGGGTTCTCCCACTGGGGAGTTTCCTTTAACCATTGAAATCACAGGTTCCATCTCCATCCCAGCCCTGTTGATTTATACATCATTTTCACGGTGATAGATTCAAGGAAGAAAAACACAGACAATCTCTTCCCACTCTCTGTCCCTCAGTCCTCCAACTCCTTTGTCCTCATCAATCCTACCTCTTCCAAATGAGTGGCCACCACCCTAGTTCTTCTCTCCCCTATTTTCTCCTCTGGCCCAACTAGGACGTGCTTCCATGTGGGTTTTTCCTCCCTGCTCTGTACCTGTCCCTGTCTTCCCCTAAGAGAGCTTCCATACCCACCTCTCCCTGGACTACAGTAGCTCCAACATAGGTGTCTTGTATTCTAGCCCTGATCTAAGTCTCCTCTATTTGTCTGCAGTCTCCTCCCTCCAAAGCTCCCCAGACTTCTCATCTTTTCCCAAACTGGAGCAGCCTGAGGAGGAGAAGTACCCTAAGACAACGCCCCCTGGGCCACCACCCCCTGTCTCACCCCCTGCCTCTGAGCCCCCCAAGGCTGATGTCTTTGAGCAGAAGGTGGTGTTTTCTGGCTTTGGCTCCATCATGCGCTTCTCCACATCTGCTTCGGGCACAGCTCGGGCCCGGGTGCCATCTCCAGGAGAGTACAAGGCTCCCCACATCCCCGGGGGAGGCACTGGGCCTGGCAGCCACAAGAGGATGCCCTCACTGAGCGCTGCCTCAGAGGAGGTGGTTGAGGGCCTGAAGGAGAAGAAACATAAAGGGAGCAAGAAGAATCGACATGGGCCTGGGAGGCCCAAGGGGAGTAGGAACAAGGAGGGGGTGGGAGGGCCCTTGGCACCATCCCTCCCTGGGGCCCAGCTGGCTGGCTTCACGGCCACAGCAGCCTCACCCTTCTCAGGAGGTTCACTGGTCAGTTCCGGTGTGAACAATGCCTCTGCTTCCCGGGCCTTTGGACACCAAGCAGCCCTGCCCAGCCTTAGCCTTGAGTCTCCACTACTTGGGGCAGGTAGGAATCTTCTGCTCTCTCCCCTGGGAGAGAGGGAAGGTGCTAGCATGCGGTTTGGGGGGGGGGTGTGTCTGCCTGTCTGTAACTGTAACACAAGCTAGTAACAAAAAGATACTGAAATTAGCCTGTCAGAAGGACTTGGGGGGGGGCAAGGCAAGAGATAGGGGAAGTCATATGCCAGTCCAAAGTCTGTCCCATCCTTGTTTCCATCACTCAGTCATACAGGGATTGAACCACAGAATTCCTATAAGAGGATTTCTGAGTGTGGCCAAGCAGGGTGACCAGATTCCCATTACAGGAGATGTGTCCAAGTGGGAGAGAAACACTGTAAGCTTAGGGTGAAGTGGGGTTGCTTGGAGATGAGATGAGCTTTCTCCTGTGTCTGATCCCTTCCCCATAGGGATCTACACCAGTAACAAGGACCCCATCTCGCACGGTGGTGGGGTCCTTCGGGCTGTGTGCAGCACACCCCTCTCCTCCAGCCTCTTGGGCCCTGCAGGCACCTCATCTCTGCCCCAGCTCAGCCGGTCCCCCTTCGCCAGCACCCTCCCTGCCTCCTCTGCCTCCATCTCCACCACGCAGGTAAGACAGGTGGTATGGTCTGTCGAGCCCTCTAAAGGCACTGAATTACAAAAAATCTCTACCCTGTGATGTCCATGCCTCCTAGGGAACCAGCCCCTCACTCTTGCCTTTCCTTCCAGGGCCACAAATTTATCTCTTTTGTTGAATCCAGGAAAACTCTGCCTTTCTCCCCTCCAGGTATTTTCTTTGGCTGGCTCTACCTTCAGCCTTCCTTCTTCCCACATCTTTGGTACCCCCATGGGCTCCGTTAACCCGCTTCTCACCCAGGCAGAGAACAGCCGAACAGGTATGTGGGTGGGCAGACAGGGTCCCTCCCCCCCCTCCAAGAACTCAGCTCAAATGGGTGGGTGGGTGAAAGAATAATCACCCTTGCTGAATTTCTGGTGCGGTTTGAGGTTTGCAGAGCACCTTCTTCACAGACCCCCCCCCACCCCCGTGAAGTGGTAGTACAGATATTATTGGGCTTGTTTTATAGACAAGGAAACTGAGGCTTAGAGAGATGAAGTGATTTGCTTAGGAAGGGAGGAGTAAATCAGGATTTGAATCTCGGCTTTCTGGCCTCTAGCAGCCGCTCCGCCGTGCCCTACGAGGGTCTGTTACCCAGCTGTGCCCATATGGCCCCTCGAGAAACCTGTGAAGAGCTGCGGCCCCTCTCCGCGCCCCCCGCCCCCCGCCCCATTCAGTCAGGGAACAAATGGTCTCCGGCTTTCCCGGCTGCAGCTCCGCCTCTGGCCCCCTAGAGGGAGCCCCGGCCCGGGAGCGGCCGTGATCTGATTGGCGGGGAGACACCACCTGTCCCCCCCCCAAGAGGCGGGGCTTTCCCACCTGGGTCCATCCAAAGGCCCGGAGCCCACTTCCTGCTGGAAACTACTCTCAGAAGCTTCTTCAGTGACTAGTTAGAAAGAAGTCAGGGCGGGGCATCTGAGGGCGAACCACCTAGCTCAGGAAGAGCCCGTCGGAAAGAAATCAGGGGTGCGTGCCCCGCTACCTGCGGGGGCTCCCCGGGGACCGGCCAGGGGTGCCCCGGGGAGGGGAAGGCGGCGTCCCCCGAGCACCGTGCCGAGCTTCCTCTTTTCTTTTCCAGAGCCCAGCCTGGAGGACTGCAGCTTCGGGTGTCGGGGCACCTCTCCCCAAGAGAGCCTGTCATCCATGTGAGTTGGGGGAGGGAGGACTGGGAATGGGCTGGGGGCAGGGGGCACCCATGGGTGAGTTCAGGGGCCAGTGTCCTTGTCTCTGACCCGGCAGGTCACCCATCAGCAGCCTCCCCACGCTCTTCGACCAGACAGCACCCTCCGCCCCATGTGCCAGCAGCCAGCTGGATCCAGCAGCCCAGGGCACCGCCAACATGGAGCAGCTGCTGGAGAAGCAGGGCAACGGCGAGGCCGGAGTCAATAGTGAGGAGGCCTTGCCCAGGGGGACGGGAGTGGAGAGGGAGTTTGCTCCTCAGAATGCCCAGAATGCCGCTCCAGCCTCTGCCTCCCCAGGCCCTCCCCATCCCCACCCCCAGCTCTTCTGGGGCTGCTGCCCCTCCCTGATCCCCTTCTCTCTCCCCCACTCCAGTTGTGGAAATGCTGAAAGCCCTGCACTCGCTGCAGAAGGAGAACCAGAGACTTCAGGAACAGATCATGAGCCTAACAGCAAAGAAGGAACGACTCCAGATCCTCAACGTGCAGCTCTCAGTACCCTTCCCTGTGGTACCTGCTGGGGTGCCCACTGCCAATGGGCCCACCCCTCAGGGTCCCTACTGCCTGCCACCCAATGGTGAGCGCAGAACCTGGGGCTCTTCCAGACCCTGTGGGGGAGATGATCTGGTAAGACTGAGTTGGCAGTGGCCTTCTCCTGATGCCCACCATTCCTTCTCACTTATCTCCTTAGCTGGCAGCAGTGACTCCCTAAGCACCAGCAAAAGCCCTCCCGGCAAGAACAGCTTTGGCCTGGAGAATTCCCTCTCCATGTCTTCTGAGGTATGGGCAGGGAAGGCCTCAGGCAGAAGGGGACTCACTCTAGGCAGATCTCCTGGCATGGGGAGGGGTGCCAGGTAGCATTCTTGCTTCTGATGCCCAGTACCCTTTCAGGGGCCCCTGGGCGGTGCCCACATCCAACTTGGCCTCCATCACTGTGGACAGCCTGCCAGTTTGGCACAGGTTCTCCCCTCCCCTCCCCCTATCCTGGGGGGAAGCAGCTGGCTTGATGGAGCCAATGGTGGTGGAGCATTCTTCAAGGTTGGAGCTGTTGCTTGGGAGGGAAGCAGGTGGTAGTAGGGGATGGCAGCATTGGCTCAGTGCTGATCCACTTTGCTCCAGTTCTGACCTCAATCTCTCCTCCTCCAGGACCCTCACTCTGGGTGCCCAAGCCGAAGCAGCTCCTCACTATCCTTCCACAGCACACCTCCACCCCTGCCCCTCCTGCAGCAGAGTCCAGCTGCCTTGCCCCTGGCCCTGCCTGGCCCCCCAGCCCCTCAGCAGCCACAGTCACAAAATGGGCTGGGCCGAGGAGCTGGAGGAGTTGGTTTAGGAACTGTATCCATGGCTGATGGCCTTCTTGGAGGTCTGGCAGGGGGAGGGACACTGCCCCTCAATGGACTTTTGGGCGGGCTTAATGGGGCTGTGGCCCCACCAACACCTACTGGCCTAAACCAGGGCAGCGGAACACCTACAATGCAACTCCCAGGGGGCCTCAGCAGGTGAGAGGGCAGGGAGGAAAACCCAGCTTTAGGCAGCTAGTCTAAAGAGAAAGAGAGAGAGGACATGTCCAAACCGTATAGGATCCCCTCCACACCCATCCTAGAGAGATACTCTGTACACAGCTCAAAGAGATTCTCCTCCTATCTCACAAACACTTCTACCATTAGAGACTTTACCATCCTTCTTCTCTTCCTCCAGCCCAGTCCATTAAGTGTTTCCTCAGCACTGAGATTCCGTCTCCTGTTTCCTTCCCTGGCCTTGGGCGGAATTATGGGGTGGGGGGAAGTGAACAACATGACCCATCTCTTGATGTAACTTATGTGGGTCCCTCCTGCTATAGTCAGCTCTTTCCTGTAGTCTGACCCGAGAGGCCAGAGGCCTGCCTTCTCTCCCCCTTAATGGCCTCCCCAGTTTCTGGACCTGAGGGAGCCCCTCATTTCCTTGGGCAGAGAGGGAGTGTGCCCTGATCTCTCTCTCTCCCTGTCTCCCTCTCCCCACCCCCCCACCTTGGCTATCAGCCTAACAGAACAGCAGAGACACTTCTTCCAGCAACAGGAACAGCAGCTCCAGCAGCTCCAGCAGCTTCTGACCTCGCCCCAGCTGACCCCGGTAACTCAAGCTCAGTCATCCCTAACTCTCTGAGAACTCCCAGGGTCCACCCCAGCTCTCAGGAAGATTCCTAGAGAATCAACCGAGCACCTCAGGAATTCCCTTTCCTCTTCCAATTATGGCATTGTCTGACAGTGCCCACAGCAGGCAGAGCTTCTACACTGAGGCCAGTGTGGAAAGGGTGCTGACTTCTTTGCTCTAAGAGGACCCAAGTTCAAATCCTGGCTCTTTTCCTTTCTACATGTATGACCTTGGGTGTATCAGTTCCCTTCTCTAGCCTCAGTTCCTTCTGCTGTAAAATGAGACAGGGATGCCCCTAGTGACCTCTCGGATCCCTTCCAGCTCTAAATCTATGCTTTCAGGTTCCCTCACCCCCAGTTCTAGATCCTTAGCCTGTAATTACTGGGAGTAAGAATGGGGAAGGGAAGGGAAACTCAAACGCCAGCCCAGCCCCGCCTGCCCTGTCCCTCTCCCCTCCAGGACCACCAGACTGTCGTGTACCAGATGATCCAGCAGATCCAGCAGAAGCGGGAGCTGCAACGGTTGCAGATGTCTGGAGGCTCCCAGCTCCCCATGGCCAGCCTGCTGGCGGGCGGCACAGCCCCTCTGCTGCCCTCGGCAGCTGCCCCACCCCTGCTGCCCGCGCTGGGCACTGGCACCACCCTCATGGCGGCGGCGGCAGGCGGGCCCCCTGTCCTCACCGCCCAGACCAACCCCTTCCTCAGCCTCCCCGGGGCGGACAACAGCGGGCAGAAAGGAGGGGTGGGTACCGTGCCCTCTGGGGTCCCCTCTCACCCTTTCCCCCCTGGCACTCTGGAGGGTCGAGTTGTAGCCACAGCAGAAGGAAGCAGGAAGAAAAAGCCAGCAGGGTAGAGAGGTGCCAGCCCAGTGGTCACCAGTCTAGGCCTGGCCCAGGTGGGCTCTGAGGTTGGAGCTTCTCCTCCCTCTTTTCACAGCTCACATTTGGGGTCACAGTCCCCCTTGCTCCTGCTCCAGAGGAGATCTTGGGTGCTTCTCTGTGGAGTCACAGATCAGCCCAGCTTTCTCTGACTAGAGGCTGGGTGGTTAAAGGGTATCAAAGGGATTGTGGCAGGAAAGTGGACCAGGGTGCAAGAGGAGGTGGAAGTCACCTCCTGCTAACGCCCCAGTCTTGTCTCCTCTCCTCTCCTTCCAGAGCGGTGACAAAGGATCCTCATGCAACCAGGAAAAAGGCTAAACCAACCCCTCCCCCTCCCCGCCCCAGGGGGGCTTCAGGGGAAGCCCGGCCCCAGAGGGGGCCCAGCCGCGAGCAGGCGCCTGTGCTCAGACACTGGAAAGCCCTGGCATAAAGGAGGTGGAAATGGGTCTCACCCATCCCATGCTGAGATCCTGCCACCAGCCTGGCCAAAGGACTAAGCAGGGTTTTTATCGGGGGGGGGGAGCCCAGAGAGAGATGGGGCAGAGACATGAGTCTGTCGCTCCTCCCTCAGTCAGGAGGTTCAGCTCCAACTTATCCGTATCCTTTGCAATTTTAATATTTTGAGGCCAGCCCCTCTTCTTCTCTCCTCCCCATCACCCCTCTCCATCCCTCCACATCCCACTTGCCTCTTGGCTAGGGATCTAGAAGGAGAGGATAGTCAACTCTGACTCCTGCTGAGGGACACACCCTATCTACCCCTGGGCTGGCACAGGGAATGGAGTGATGGAGTGGTTGCCTGGCGTGAGGATCAAGGTGGGCAGGTGGGGATAATGGCTGTGTTGCTTCTAGCAAACACAATAGGATGGCACTTGAGTGGTTTTAGTAGTTGTGGTGATGATGGGGTTAGATGCTGCCTCCCCTCCCCTCCTATCCCCCCCACCCCCACCTCTCTGGCCTTCTGCCTGAAGGCCGAAGCTCTGTTAATGGCAGGGGATACCCAGCCCCTAGCCCCACTGTTTCTAGGCACCATGGGGGAAGGGAGGTGAGCTTGGGGTTTTCCATCTTAATAACGTCAAACGTAGCCCAGCTCACTTCCTTCCACCCAGCCACACCTACTGGAGGGTTCCTCCTGGGGGGATGGATGGAAGGGGTTGTGTGTGTGGCTTGGCCCCATCTATCCATCCCACCCACCCCATACTTCTTTGCACTATTAGAACCTATCAGTGGGGGGTGTGCTATGACAGTGCTGGAGGGCTGGGTCTGTGAGTGAGTATCAGTATGTATGTGTGTGTTCGGGTGTGTGCACCACTGGACCCTGAGTACATGGGGTAAGAATGGGCATTGGAGGAGGGTGGGGAGAGTCAGGTGATAGTAGAGAAAGAGTGCATGGTGAGGAGGAGAGAATTTTCTATTCCTGATCAGTTAAGACAGCAGTTAAAGAGACCTTGGCCCCTAGGCCATGTCTCCCTCTAGCCAACCTTGGCATTTTTGGGGGCAAGTGAGATGTTAATAATCAAAAAACACTCCAATTTGGAAAGTGACAAGAGGCTAGAGTCTTCAAATCAGGGTAACTGCTGTCTTTCTCTTTCGTATGTGAGCACTTCATCACCTACCCCAGGACCTCAGCACTCCCTCTCTTTCTGAAAACCCCTTCCCCCAAGGTGCTCAACTCAGAGCATCTTCCCCCTGCTCTTCTTCCCCCACCCCCCATCATACACACAAACACACACATATACTAGCACATAAACACATATTAGCACATACACGCACATACCTGAGGTGGTAGGAGGCTAGGGTCAGCTGCAATCCGCTCATTCTATCTAGCTTGTCCTAGCCTCTTTGCCCTCTCCTTAGGCCTAGGGGAGCCCCCAGGAATCAGGGCTGGGGAAGGGAAGCAAACTGCCCCTTTCCTTCCCTGTACTAAAAAGCCTGCCCTCCCCTTAGGAGGAAGCCAATACTAACCTGCTGCCCCTCTACCTACCAGCTATTCCTCTGGGGTGGGTGGCCAAGAGGCTTTCCTCCTACTCCTCCCAGAAAACCAAGGACAGGATGACTTTTGGGGTGTTTTTGTGGGGGACATGGAAGTTAAAGATGTATGTTTTAGTTGCACTGGGGTGGGGGGTGTGCATCACAGAGGTGGCATTGGGAAGGGGAGAGAGTCAGAGAGAGAGCCTTTCACACCCATCCAAATACGTGTGCTTTGTCAGTCTCTTTTTGCATGTGTGGTTTCTGTGTTTCTGTTTTGGGGTTTTGTTTTGTTTTGTTTTGTTTTTTAAATAAAGAAGAGGAGATGTATATATTTTTGGCAATGACAGAAGACGTAGTGCAGATATATTTTTGCCCACGCTGCTCAATCGGTTCTTTTCTGATACTGAAAATAATATTAATCCTGTTGATAAGACACAGGGAGCCTGAGGAGGGAGGGGGGACATACCCCCGGGCAGTCTCTGAGGCTCGCCAAGAGCTCAGGGGGCAATGTTGGAAATCTCAGAAATAATCACTTTTTATTAATACTTTACAGGCAGATAGGGAGAAATGATAAAAGAAATTATCATCTTGTCCTTAAACTATCTAAACTTTTAAACACTTTTACCTGTTCCATTCCACCCCTCAAAAATAGCATCCAGAGGTCCTCTGAATTTATACTGTATGTCACCTTGGAAGGGTTCCCTGGCCCTATCAGGTACATTCTAGGTGAAGTTAAGGTTATTAGGACAATAAGGGAAATAAAAATATTTCTGAGAAAGGGTAGTAATGGAGGTTGAGTTGAAGGGGTCAAACTCATTTAGTGTACTGGGGATGAGGCCTCCCTTCTCAGCCCCTCAGAGCAAGTCTACTCTTATTTGGCCATTCACCCATTGGAGGTCCCTTGAGGATTCCTGAGAGCCCCTCTCAGGGGAATGGGAATGAGCTGAAGGCCTGACCCTGGGACTTTTCCTGAGGCACTAGAATCTAGCACTGGAGAACAAGGTTAGATTTGAGGAAGAGACTCCCTAGCAAGCTTGGCTTGACCCCCTAGAGTGGGGAAGGAGGCAGGGAGGGGTCAGAATCTGATTCACAGCCTGGCATGGAGACCGGAGAAAGGATGGGACCAGCCTCTCATGGTCCCAGCCTGCTCTCTGTTCTCCCCCTCCCAGGCTTTCAGATCAGGTAGATTTACTGAACACAGACTTAGACTGGGGGGGGGGGTTAGGCTGGGGGGGGGTGAGACAGATTTGTTTAAAGGTAGATGTCTCTGTGTCTAGGGGAGGGAAAGGATGTGGTTAGTGGGGGAGGAAGCTGAGTTCGGAGATTGGTGAGAGTGGAAGGGGTATGTGTTATCCCTCCCAGCATTTCATCTGAGCTGAGGTTGGGGGAAGGGGGTGGGAGGGAGGGAGGGCAAGGTGGACTTTGGGTGTCAGACTGTTTCCAGAAAGGGAGGGCAGGCAGGGAAGGGCATGGCATGTGTCTACAGACCTGGTCTGGGGTCCTGGGTGTATCTGTCTTGGAATGTGAGCATATATGTGTGTGTGTGTGTGTATATATGTAAGTACTGTGAGAGTGAGTGGCAGTGTATGTCTCTTTCTGTGTGTGTCCTGTGGGGGTGGCCATGGGTGGATGTGCCTGTGAGAGTTTATATGTACCCATGTCTCTGGGCTGGGAGCTGGGGGGGGGAGGTGGGGTTATTGTAGCACTTACTCTTGCTTTTGATCCAATCTGTCACATAAAGAATTACACTTTAAAAGGTTCCTTTCTCCACTCTCCCTGCCACAGTATCGCTTTATTCCATGCGTTTCTTTTAGGATGGGAAGTCAGATTTTCCCTCTGGCTTCCTAATATACAACCCGCCCTCCCCCATACACACACACATACACACACATACCATGTCCTCACTTTGAGGTAATAAAAGAGCCCCAAAGAGGCCTAGGACTCCCTTCCCCCTCAGAGGAGGCCATGAGAGTTCTGGGAAGAACCCCACCAGGGCTTGGCCTGGAGACAGGGGCACAAGGGAAGGAAGGGGACTTTGAGAGCTGGGGCAGGTCTTCCTCACCCTAAGCACCTTTTCCCAGTCCTGAAAACAAACACACTGAAAACTCCAGCAACTGGTCGCCCTTCACCCCACACTGCCCTACCTTACCCTACCCAGCCTACGTGTCCAGCTTTTTTTTTTTTCAGAGCAAGAGGGAGGCTGTGGAGCAAATGAGGGAAGGTGGAAAGACACGGTGCCCTCCCCGATGCCCCTCTCCCAGGACTTTTATGGTTAGAAGAGAATGGGAAGTGATCCCCTAAAAGTGGTCACTTCTTTGGGAAATGAGGGTGAAGTTGAAAGGGAATCAGAGAAAGGTGCTCTTGAGAACCTCCCCTCCCTAGATACAAATGTCTTCCACCTTTGCTCTTTCTTGGTTTATTGAATGGGAAGTGGGTGGGGTGGGATGGCTAATCACTGGCCTTCTGTCTCATTCTGCTCCCCTCACTTTGCCCCAAGATATCTGGGAGGGACCCCCAAAAGAGACCTCCTCTGGCACCCTTTCTCAGGCTGGTGACTAATTCCATCTCAATCCCAATCTGATTTTTTTTCACCCCCTTTCCCCAGATATTCAGGGGGAGGGGGGAGAGACAGCAGTTTACAAAATCCAGTGGTTTTTTGGAGGGTTTTTTTTTTTGCCCATTTCTGAATCCCCTTTCTTTCCCCAGCCCAAGAGATAGTGCTTCCCATCACCCCCTTCCTCACCCTGTGGTGTGTATAACTCAGATCTTGTATCTTTGTATAACTGATGTTATTTGTACAAAGGGCAGTTCGTAAACAGCACTTGTTCTTTTAATAAAAGAATGTTTTACAAAAAAAAAAAGGTGTCCATAACTGATACTGTCTTGTCTAATGATACTGATTAGAATACTCAGTGTGATATGATGGAAGAGGCAATGGCCTGGGAACTGGGTAGAACCTGGGTTTGAATCTAGGTTCTGCCACTGAGTGCCCTTGGGCAAGTCATTTCATGGTGTAAGTAGAAAGAGCTCTGGATTTGGAGTCAGAGGAATTGGGTTCAAATCCTAACCCTGCTACTTAATACCCCTGTGAACCTACCTGCAAAATGAGATCACTTTCTATACTTCAGTTATTATAAAATGAAGGAGTTGGACTAGATAAGCCCTAAGGTCCCTTCCAGCTCTAAAGCTGATTGGATGATTTCTCCTAGCCTCTATTTCTTCATCTCTATATTGGGAGTAAGAAGGTTGGTGCCAATGCCATATGAAATTGCCCGAGGCTACACATGTTTACTTGTTGAATTAAATATATTATTAAGGGAGGGTAAGATAGAATGGATCCACAATCCTCCTTCCCGCAATTAATGAGCACATTTGAGAGTAGGAAGGACAGTTGGACTCAGGTCATCAGAGAGCTCTCCAGCTATACAGATGAATGGAAGGGTGCCAGGCTCCTGGGGTTCATGCAGCTGAGATGGAAGCCCACTAGCAGCTGGGCCTCCATTTCTGCACCCCCACCAAGATCCTGGGAGAGACCCACCCACCGAGTACTTTTTTCTTTTCATCCAATTCAACAAATGTTTACTATTATCTAGGGTGGGCAAGGCATTGTGTTTGCTGGGTTCTGGGGCAGAGGCAGGATGGCAGCAGTGCTGGCTATGGCATGAGGGTTTGCCATCTTAGCTCTAGCACTTCTTAGCAATGTGGCCACAGTAAGTCACTATTTCTTTCTGAGCCTCTGTTTCTTCTTCTGTAAAACACAGAGTAATACTTGTACTTTCTACCTCACTAAGTTATTGTATAAAGAAAAAAAGGGTTTATAAACCTTGAAACTCTAAATCTAAGTTATTATATATAGGATTATGCAGGGACTGTGTTGGGTTTTTGGGGGGGGGTTGTTTGGTTAGGTTTTGGTTGGGTTTGGTTTTTTTTGCTTTTCTTTGCAACCCCACTGTTTAGAGCACAGTGCCTCAAATAAGTAAGTGCTTAATAAATGCTTGACTTGATTTAGAGCTACAATGAATGGTTGAAAAGTGCATTAAGCAGTGTGCTAGGTTCGATTTCAATTCAATAAACATTTATTAAACACTATGTGCCAGGCCCTGGAAATTAAAAAAAAAAAGGTAGCAAAAGACAGTCCCTGCTCTCAAGGAGCTTCCAATCTATGGGGCCGGGGTGGGGGGAGGGCAGGGAGAAATAACATGCAAATATAAAAAGCAAGCTATGTGGTCCATGGAGTCAGGAAAAGTGGGACAAGACAACAAAATATATTGAGTTTGAGATGCATATGGGACGTCCAGTTGAAGATGTCCAAAGCAAGACTAGGGGTCAGAGAAAGGTTAGGGCTGGATATATAGATCCAAGAAACATTTGCAAAGAGATAATAACTCTAGGAAGTGGATGTGATGCCCAAGTAAGATAGCACAGACGGAGAAGAGAAGAGGACCCAGGATGGAATCTTGGGGGAACACCCATGATTAGTGGGATTCATCTGGATGCAGATACAGCAAAGGAGACCAAGAAGGAAAACCATGAGATAGCAATGGCACAAAAACCCTAAAGGAGAAATTATTAGGAAAAGAGGATGACCAAAGTTCAGAATGCTGCAGAGAGTTCTAAAAGGATGAAGGAGAAGAAAGAAACCAGAGCAGCTAGGTGGTTCAGAGGATAGTGCAACAGCTCTGGAGTCAGGAGGACCTGAGTTCAAATCTGACCTCAGACACTTACCAGCTGTGTGACCCTGAGAGAGAGAGAGAGAGAGAGAGAGAGAGAGAGAGAGAGAGAGAGAGAGAGCGCATTAGAGTTGACAATTTAGAGATCAGCAGTAATTTGGAGAAGTTGAATGATGATGCTAGAAACTAGACTACAGAGGGTTTAGAATTGAGTGAGAGGAAATGGAGGCATTTTATGTAGCATCAAATGTAGACAGCTTTCTCAAGGAGTTTAGGGCAGTAGATGGTCATGGCCATCTACTACATGGCCATGCTACAGGACCAAATGTATTATTGATTTAACTTCCTTTAGTATTGAGCAGGGAGGCAGCTAGGTGGTGCAGTGGATAGAGTGCTGGGCCTGAGGTCAACAAGACTCCTTTTCCCAAATTCAAATCCAGTCTCAGACACTCACTAGCTAGCTGTGTGACCCTGGGCAAGTGGATTCACTCTGTTTGCCTCAGTTTTCTCATCTGTAAAATGAGATGGAGAAGGAAATGGAAAACCACTCCAGTATCTTTGTCAAGACAACTCAACATGACTGAACTACAACAAAAGTATTAAGTAGATTATCTCCTTGAGGGTAAGGTGGGAGGTCTGGAGTATATTCTAGATATGAGAGTACAGTGAGCTAA